TCACAACCCCAAAGAGTATGCGCGCGGCGCGTGCTCTCTATTATTCGCGCTCCTTGATCTCCCCTATTTTTTAGAGGGGAACTGTGTAAAGTGAGAGATCATAAATTGGCCCTCCGTGCAAAAAAGAGTTCTCGGGCTATTTAATTGCCGGCTTTGAGAGAAAGCTGCGAGTGTGCCTAGCGACTGTTTCCGCCGGTTGCGGGGGCTGTTTTGCGGGCTGGGCCTCTGTGTTGTTGTTTTGTGCTGGGGGCGACTTGTCGTCTTCTTTAGTATGGAGGATATAACCCTGGTTGATCCTGCCAGTAGTCATACGCTTGTCTCAAAGATTTAAGCCATGCATGTCTAAGTATAAACAATTTTGTACTGTGAAACTGCGAATGGCTCATTATATCAGTTATAGTCTACTCGATAGTACCCTTACTACTTGGATACCCGTAGTAATTCTAGAGCTAATACATGCATCAATACCCAACTGCTTGTCGGGCGGGTAGCATTTATTAGATTGAAACCAATGCAGTCTTCGGGCTGGTATTGTGTTGAGTCATAATAACTGTGCGGATCGCGCTTTTGCGCGATAAATCGATTGAGTTTCTGCCCTATCAGCTTTGGATGGTAGGATATGGGCCTACCATGGCATTAACGGGTAACGGGGAATTAGGGTTTGATTCCGGAGAGGGAGCCTTAGAAACGGCTACCACATCCAAGGAAGGCAGCAGGCGCGTAAATTACCCAATCCTGACACAGGGAGGTAGTGACAATAAATAACAATGCTCTGGCTCTTCGAGTCGGGCAATTGGAATGAGAACAATTTAAATCCCTTAACGAGGATCAATTGGAGGGCAAGTCTGGTGCCAGCAGCCGCGGTAATTCCAGCTCCAATAGCGTATATTAAAGTTGTTGCAGTTAAAAAGCTCGTAGTTGGATTTCTGTTTTGGATGTCCGGTCCGCTCCCTCTGGGAGTGTGTACTTATGGATATTCGAGGCATTTTTTGTGAGGCTGCCTTTCTGCCATTAAGTTGGTGGGTTGGTGGGCTTGCATCGTTTACTGTGAAAAAATTAGAGTGTTTAAAGCAGGCGTTTGCTCATTTGAATACATTAGCATGGAATAATAAGATACGGCCTTGGTGGTCTATTTTGTTGGTTTGCACACCAGGGTAATGATAGTTGGGGGTGGTTTCTTGCCAAAAAGGACCTGATGACGATGTTGTAAAGAAGAATTTGCGGCGGAAGATTGACGGCGTGCTTACTACAAAGGAGAAGATTACTACGATGATGCAAGAATACGTGGACGTGCTGAATCCACCACCTCCGAACGTAGAGAAACGCGAAGCGATGTACTACAGCATCAGACCGTACGTGCTACATGAATTTCAAGGCGACTCGCTGTATGCCAAGCCGAGTGAGCAGGAAGGACTTGATGCGAAAGCGGCGAAGCAGGCGCGTCAGGCTCACCGTGCAGCCATGGCTATGACTGCTAAAGGCAATCAAGACCGTCGTGGGCGAGAAGTAGGCAGCGATGCCCTCAACAGTCAAGCCAAGCAGCAACGTGAGGACGCGTTACGCTCAATGGAGTGGTCTCCAGTCACTCACGAGTTTGAGGAGGGTGTCGAAGCGTACTCTGGTCTGAATATGGAAGATGCACGACCGGTCGCTGAGCTACTAAACGTTTGTCACTCTCCACTACTTACATTCTTTTACTTTATGCCCAAGTCGCTATGGGCCAAGATAGCTGCAGAGACGAATCGGTATGGTCTTCAGCAAGTCACCAAACGTGCAGAAAGAATTCATGCAAAGCAACACGATCGGAGAAAGGAGACGGTTAAGCAGATTAGTCGGCGTTTGAAGGCAAAGCCGGGATACGAGACGCACGAGATCTTACACATGATAGGTCTCCTGATTGCGCGCATGCTCTGCCCGCAAAAGCGACGTTTTGCCGCTCACTGGTCGATGGTGAAGGACGGGGCCGTTCCTGCAGGTAATTTTGGAAGGTTCGTGGGCCGTAATCGATGTCAAGACATGTTGCGCGACTTGCACTTTGTGGACAACGAGGCGGAGTGTACGCGAGACAGGCTCTGGAAGTTGTGAATGGTAGTCGAGCCAATGCAGAATCGTTTCTTGATTGCGTGGACCCTCCCGGCAGTGTTCGCTTTTGACGAGGGTGTTCTGCCTTCTACTTCTAAAAGAAACACGACTAGAATGTTCATGCCCGATAAGCCTCATCGGTATGGCTCGAAAATGTTTATGGTGTGTGATTCAAGGACCGCGTACTGCCACAGGTTTGGGTTTTTTTACTTACGTCGTAAGTTATGACATTAGATTGGTTTCTCACCAATTATGTCGTATGTTACTAGATTTGAGCTGTATGCGGGCAAAAGAAGAGATGGAGAGCATTCAGCATTTGACCATAAGACCGGTGCGGCTGCAGTCGTTAGAAATTTGAAGACATTGCTTGGTCCCAACACCCGGCTTCCATGGCACGCAGTAGTTATCGACCGCTTCTATTCGTCAATTCTACTTGCTATCGAGCTACTGGGCATGCAAGTGTACGTGATAGGCACGATAATGACCAACCGGCTTGGATATGATGCAAATGTCAAAGAGAAACGCAAGTCACGTCCAGCAAGCGTTCCCCGAGGCATGTTCACGTTTTCTCGTTCTGTCGCCATTCCAAATATGGTTGCATTTCACTGGTGGGACCGGAAACCTGTGCATTACCTGTGCACAGGCTCGGCAATGACAGAGACGACTATTACACGAAACGTCAAGCGCGTTGGTACAATTACCGTGCCCTGCCCGGCGGCTGTAACCGACTATCAACGTTGGATGGGCGGAGTTGATGTGCATGATCAACTCCGCCTACAAAAGTACTCTTTGCAGAAGTCTACGAAGTTCAAGAAATACTACAAAAGCCTTTTTTTAGGCTTCGTGGATTTGGCACTTGTAAATGCGTTTATTTCGCACAAAAAGGCTGCACGTATCGCTGGAACGCCGGTGATGAAGCGAGGAGAATGGTTCGGAGTCCTGCAAAACCAATTACTGCAGCTGAAAGTGGAGGACTTCGCTGGTATTGTTGCAACACCGACACCTAGCAGCCAGAAGCGGAAGCGCCCCCAACTACGTCTGACACATGCTGTCGAGCAGGCCGACGACTGGGTGACCGTTACGGGCATTCAGAAGCGTCGCCAGCGATCTTGCAAGGTGTGTGCCCTGTTGCGCACGGATCGAAAGAAGAAGTCGTTTGCTACAACTTACTTTTGCGAACGCTGTTCTATTGACGATGCAAAGTGCTGGCTGTGCAGCAAGATACGACGTCAGTACAAGGGTGTAGCTAAAACGTGCTTTGAGATCTGGCACGACGACTTCGACTGCGGCCAAAACATTCCTGCAACACTAGGAAAGAGAGTTGTCTTGCGACGCCCGGGGAAGAAGGCAGGTGTGCACAAGAAGACCCGTCGAGAGTTGCGACTTCGTGAAGATGAGGAAGACGGCGGCGATGAACATGAGAGTGAACAAGAGTAGGCTTGCCAGCGTGACATCAAAAGAGTGTGGGCGCTTGTCATGTCGTAATACACATTTCCTTGAGCATCTGTACTTTTTGTTCTGTCTATTCTACTGATCTGGATTCATAAAACAGCTCTGTGCACCACTTTTCCCCGATGTGCAGCAGATCTTCCCGCTGTACTTTCTAATGTGGGGCAACTTACGACATACAGTGTTTTCTGCTAGCTACTAAGTAGTATAACTTACGACTTCTGAGAGAGCAACCTGTCAAAAACTTATACACCTATACGCACGTCGAACATATGCCACATACAAACAAGTAGTGACATGGACATGTCGTAAGTTACGACATTATTTATCTCGTTTTCGATACACTTCGCCGGGAACCAAGGGGTTCAATAAATGAAATCACCCCCCCCCCGCACCAATTATTTTGCATTTACATTTTGATTTCTGCACACCCTTAGTTTAGCTAGATTTAAAGGAATTAACTGGAAGTTTACCCTTTCGGATCTATTCCTAATAAGAAGTCCTAATCAAGTTTACATATATATCAAGTGAACAATGATCCGTTATAGATCTTCTTGCGCGCCAAGCGTCGTCTGCTTTGTCGCATGAGCATCTTAAACGGCCCGCGGCCTGTCCGAGACGGTGAGCGTGTCTTCCAAGGGTCGCTGAGCCTTTCGCGAACTCATATCAACCGCCACCGAGGGTTCGTACCGTAGATGGTTAGTTCCTGGCCGCTGAATGCGAATCCGGCCAGTCCATTATTAATAAAAAGACAGCCTGGATTCAGTGACATATGGACCGTATCCAATATCCGTTGAGAGTTCGGTACTGACGCCGTCAGTCTCTTGCACCTTGGAGTCACTGTACATCACATGACCGAGGGTTCGTCGCTTTAACATCTTGGGCGGTGTCACGTCTTTGTCGACGGGCGATTATCCGCAACTATGGAGAAATCAGTACACCACAATAAAAAAAGTGTATGCATGGTAGCTTGCAATAGTAGCTAGCAAGACACACATACACAGATAGTCCGAGGTTCCTGGGGTTGATTAGGGGGTAGCTTATAACTTGCGGGATTCTATCCTGCAAGTAGGTAGCCGCGCTGAGGGGATTTAATTCTAGAACCGTCTGGGATCTTGGGGCTTTATC